TGGGACCCTCATCAGATTATCTAGCTAGCCACAGTTCATCTTACCTTATCCTTATCTTATCTGCTTTCTTACTCTTATCTTATCTGTTCCAATAAGGATTAGTATAGAGTCTGATTTATCTTAGGGAGTCTTATCTAGGAGTCTTATCTATCTTATTTGTAAGCAGTTTAGTTATCAAGGAGTTTTCCTACAAGGAGGACTCTTACCTCTTATAATCTCCTATTTAAGGAGCTGAAATTATTGAATAAAGATATCAAAATTTCCAGTCAAGAAAGAGAGCAAAAGGAGAGTTCAATGATCTCTTGGACAAATCACCCTCTAGGACGCCAAGATAGGTTCAGCTAGGAAGGGGAGGAACAAGGGAAAACAGGAGCTTTTCCCCATGGACCGACCCGTGACGCGATCCTACGCCCGGGCCCATAACAGAATAATCCTGATTGTAGTAGGATTCTTTGTTTTTGACCCAGTCTTTTGCAATCTTTGACGTTTTCTGAACGGGATGATTCAGTTTTTGGAGTTTTCTGAGACCTTTGGAGGGAGCAGAAACCTTCTCTTGTTTCTACCGGCTCCTGGGAAGACAAAAATCTCTCTAAGTGAAGTTTTTTTGCTATTAAAAGATTTTTTGAGGTTTCCAAAGGGGATCAATCTGTTTCGAGGAGTGTTTCCTTGTTTACAGTTGAAGCTCTAGTTGTTCTGGGAACTATGGAGGGTAATGAAGTAGAACACAAATCTACCGGTGACACGGGACTAGGTGTAGGCAGTGCTAGTGATTCTTTTGCAACAAGTACCACCACTACAATTAAGTTGGATGGTACAAATTATTTGGAGTGGTCACAATCAGCCAAAATGGCATTGGTGCTTGTGGAAAATTGGGGTATGTAGCTGGTGAAGAAAAGAAACTTGAGACCAACTCTTTCCGGAGGGTGCAGGAGAACTACATGGTGACGACTTGGCTTTCTAATTCTATGTTATCCCATATTAGCAAGAATTTTCTATGGGCTAATACAACTAAGGTAATTTGGGATGGAGTTGCAGAGACCTACTCATAGGGTGAGAACATTGTTAGGGTTTACCAGTTGAGAAATCAAGTGATTGGTACATAGCAGGGAGATAAACCTATTGCAGTCTAGTTTTTTAGCTCTTAAAACCTTGTAGTAGGAGATGGACCATTTGGAGATTGTGGTTTGGGAGATACGGAGGATGCTACTACTTACTAGAAGCTGGTAGAAAAGAATAGGGTGTTTGAGTTCCTATTAAGACTTAATACTGAATATGACATTGCACGACAATATGTTCTTTCCTGTGATAGTG